CGTACGGGGAAGTCTAGATCCGGGGAATTTCTCCCAATTTTATATTGGTTGTCGTTAAGCTCCTGTACTTATGAACTAATCATTAGGAATGCTAGGAATTGTATGAACTCGTGATTAGGGAGAAGCCTTCTGGAAAGGTACATTAGAGAGTGGCATTAACAATGGTGATTTGATCGTTGAATTCCTAAAATATATGAGAGTGGATAAGATGAAATTGAACCCCAACAACATATCCATACATAAATTTCATTGAAAGTGTTTATCTTTTGCTTTTTGCCATTGATCACAATTCATGCATACATGTTTATTTTCTGTCTTGCATTTTAAACCCCAATTAATTCGTTTGTAAGTCTTAGTTAATTAAGAAATCACATAACTAAACTAGGCCGTGAGTCCTTTGGGAAGAACGATACTTGGTCTTACCAAGTTTTATTACTTGAACGATTCGGTCATACTTGCCGATTGAAAACAAGTTTGTGACATCATAATTTGGTGTTCATAAATTTGTCCATCAACCACCTCGGCTTTCGAAGGCCTCAAACGTTCGGCCTCGGCTCGCCCTCAGCTTCTCGGCCTGACAAGATCTACCGTTTGGCCCTCGACCGTCTCGGCACCCAACATTCAGCCCTTCGACATCAAGTTCTTGGCCAGTCTACCTCGACTTCTAGGCCATCTCGGCCTCTACTGCTCGGACTTCATAGGTTTCCAGTTCTCGGGTACCTATAGCCTCCTCCATTCGGCCTTACGATGGCCTCAAGTACTCTCAAATCTGGCCTTATAGGTACTCTGCCGACTGTTCGGCCTCTAATGCCCGGCTAGTCAACACAACAAATCGGTCACGACCGCTCTACTGATTGGCCTCATTCGCACGGCCATTTAGTCTTCACCATTCGATCGATCAGCCTAGTACGTTCGGTCATTAGGCCCAAGCTTTTGTGATTGGCCATTCGGATTCAGCCGCTCGGCCATACCTTGGTCTTAGGTAATTCCATAATCTAGCCTTGCAGGCACTTACCAAATTTGGCATCATATTTTCAGGCTTCGCAGATATTCAGCCAACAATTCGGCCTCCAAAGGCTTCAACTTCTCGGCCAATTCTAGCCTCAGGGACTCGGCCTCCAGAGGCATCTATCGTTCGACCATACTAATCAGGTACGTCCTTAAACTAGGCCACCAGGTACATGGGAAAAATTGGCATCGACGTCAGATTGTTTGGCCGTATGGTCTCTAGTACAATCGTCATCCGATCTCAACGACCACACAAAGCCCAAGTTGGTGAACGGAGTTTCACTCCTGTCAACTTGGCCGGGCAGTGAACGGCGAGTTCTTTACTGAACCACTGCTGGCCGACTCCAGACAAAGCCCAAGCTGATGAACGGAGAGTTCTTTCCGAAGGAGCACAGTCAGCTTGGCCCGGGCAGTTAACGGGGAGTTCTTTACGAAGAACCACTATCGTCCGGCGTGACCACAAGCCCAAGCTGATGAACGGAGAGTTCTTTCTGAAGAACCACAACCGTCCAGCGTGACCACAAGCCCAAGTATATGCGCCGGAACACTATGTCAACCCGGCTGGGGCGTTCCAAAGGTCCACAACCGATCGGCCTCCTAGCCTCAATCTCTCGACCTCTGCGGCCTCTACCTCTCGACCTCCCAAGGCCCCAACCGTTCGGTCTCAAAGTGGCCTACTAAGGCCTTAGCCGTTCAATATCAGCAGAGCCTCCAGAGGCCCCAACCGTTCGGCATCCAAAGGACCCAACCATTCAGTCATCGATGGTTCTGTCGTCCGGCCTCACTATAATCTTCGACTTCAAAGTCTTCCATGGCCTCATTGTAACTTAGCGAAATTGGGCAGCATTAATCCGGTGGTCCATCCTCGAACGATCGGCCATTCGACCTCATTACCTCGACCATTTAGCCTCAAACTCTTAGCAAGATTTGGCAATCCATTCAATGTCGGCCATTCATAAGGCCTTCAACTTCTCGGCCCGGAATGGCCTCATTCCTTTGGCCGATCAGCATCGCTCTTTTGGCCGGTCGGCCTTGACCTCTCGGCTTGTCGGCCTCTACTCCAGCATTTGACCTTGGCCACTCGGTCATATCTTGACCGTGCCGGTAAATTCTGAATCTGTCTTGCAGGTACTTTGCCAAAATCATGGCATCAACCGTTCGGCATCCGATGGCTTGCACCATTCGGCCAAGATCTCGGTCGATCGTTCGACCTCTCCATCATTTGAAAACTCAGCCATTCGGCTTCGAAAGGCCTCTACTTCTCGAGTTTCCTAAGGCCCCACCGTTCGGCCAAATCTGGCCTCAGGGATTCGGCCTCCAAAGGCCACAATTTCTCGGCCTCCCGTGGCACCTACCGTTCGATCATATCTTGACCTCCAGGTTGACATCCCTGGCCGACCACCCCTTCTGACCGGCCGTCCGGACCGACCCTCATTAGGTCGACTACACGGTTAAACACTAATGACTCATTAAAGCCCTTAATGAAGATTAAGGTATGATTGGGCCGTTATCAAGCCCACGAAAGGTAAAAGCCCATTACAATCAGTATAAATAAAGGTTCTAGGTATGATTTCTGGGAGATTACTTACGATGCAATATATACATGCATTACAGACCGCTTGGTCATATTACTGATTTAAGCGTCGGAGTGCCTTTGACAGGTACCCGACCGCCCGGCTTGGAGAACGAAGAGAGAGAACGAATACTACAACCAGGACTTGAAGACGAGAGAGCCCGTTCGGCCCTTCCCAGCGCGTCCAGCCCTCAACAAAGAGGTAACCGTCCGGTTCTCGCCAGCTTCTGGTGCCCCCTAGAGATAGAGTCGCTCGGTCTGTTTCAGTTCGTGAGATTCGACAACGTCCGCCCGGTTTTCGACAAACTCTTAAGTGTTTTTACAAGGTCAGACCAGATCCGACCGAAACAATTGTATTAAAATTTTAAATAAAGAATAATGTTAATTCTTTATGTATTTAAACTCAGATTTTATTAATTTGTACCTTTCCAATAACTCCAAATAGACATATGATACCTATTTTAGCTTTTAGTCAAATATGATTCTTCTCTATTTTCAATTTTCTTACCCAAATGTTTTTTGTAATGGTGTTCAAAATAAACTCTTATCTTTCTAAATATACTTGGCAAAGCTCTATGTACAGGGATCAGATCAGACTGATTTTGCCTTTGGAACCTTAGATGGCGAAATCATGGCAAAGGAAATGGCTATTTGTTTTTTAAAATTTTATCATTCGCCCAAAATGGTAAGACCTGTTTGGTCCAAATACTCCTTTGATTTTTTGTTTTCTTTTTGCGGCACATTGTGAAACCCTATGCGTAGTGGTTGGAAATCCATATCAGTGTAAATATGTTTTTTCATACACTGTGTTTGGCGATTCATCTGTGACATGTGAAACTCTTTCTCTAGAATTTTCTCTACAGGATTATGATAGAAGTGTAAAGTAATTATCGATTTCTGCATTCAAGTTATGAATAAAGGGAGGAAAAGGATTACAAAAAAAGTATTGCACTCTTTTCATTTTTCTTAAGTTTGGATTTTTTTATCTTTCCATTTTTTGAAAGTTTAAATTTTTTATGATTTTAGAATGATTGCACTACTATTGTTAAAGATGTTAACTAAATACTCACAAAATCAGAAGTAAAACAAAACTAGGAGTGAATAAAATTAGTTAAACTACTTAACTATCAAAAATTACATTCCTGAATTAAAAATTAATTTAGATTAAATGAGATAAATTACTTCTTTTTTCTAACAAACTCAAATGAACTAAACTAATATTTAAAAATCTTGGAAAGAAATTAATTAAATAGATAGAAAATATTTTTCTGAACTTAGATTCTTCCATAAACAACAAAATTAAAAAGTCGAGATGAACAGAGTCATGTCAAAAGTTGAGATAAACCAAGTTAAACAAAATGTCAAAATAAGTCAAGTTTAAAATTCAGTCGAGTTCAATGAAATAGACAAAATCAAAACCCGATTAAGTTATCCTCAAGCTAAAATTGACCGAATTAGGTTAAGAAGGCCACAACAAAACCCCATCAAGTCGGTCTCGATTAAAATTTAGACAAGTCGGCTCTGATAAAAAACCAACCAAATTCAATTGGACCACGGTCAAAACTTAGTTGAGTCAGTCCTAAATTAAATCGGCTAAATTTTGTCGAATTGTCCTCGATCAAAAATCGACCAAATTTGGTTGAGACAACCACAACCAAAACTTGGTTGAGTTGGTCTTGATTGAAATTGGCCATATTTGACCAAGTAGGCCTTGCTTGAAAATAAGTGAAATTTGCCTAGGATCCATGAATGGTCGAGACAGTTCCAACCGATGATTGATCGAATTCGGTCGAGTAAACCCCAACCAAACACTGGTTAAATTCGATTGAGTTGAACACGACTAAAACTTGATTGAATTAGTTCCAACCAAAATTTAATTGAGTTAACCCTTGTTAAAAATTGACCGAATTTGACGAGTCGAATTGAGTTAAAAATCGATCGAATTGGAATAAGTCGACCTCGATTAAAGTTTCATCGAGTCCATACTAACCAAACTAAATTATAACTTTAAAATTATAAAACAAATAAAAATATAATAAATAATTAGTTTTAAGTTAATAAATAGTTTTAACTATAATTTTATAAAATCAATTTTTCAAAACTGAACTATAAAATAATTTAATTTAATTTTTATTCTAAAGAATTCAATTTTGAGTTCAATATAATGCAATTAATTAGTAATTAAGTACAATCCATCCCTAATAAACTGCGCCCTTATATTGTATTTAGATGTTGACGAGAAAGCTAAAAAAATAATAATAATTAATTCGGAAAAAATGAAAGCCCACATGGTAAATTAGTTAAGGGCTAAAGCCCAACCGAAAGAAAAGTAAAAAGATGAGACAAAACATATGGCGGCTAGTAATTGCAGGTAAAACATTACTTTTAGCTCACCTCGCACCAAACAGTTTGAATAATAATCCATGCTGATGGAATTAAGATATTTGATAGCGGAGAACAGAATAAGCTGCAAATGCAACAGCATAGTTCACACCACAATAGCATTCCTCGAATTGGTTCCTCATGAGAGGGAAAGAACAACGTGGAGCGGAAGACTCGTTCTTCGCTCCAAATGCTTCTGCCGCTCACCACAATTTGGGCTCACCAAACCACCGCAGGCCCACACGTAGAAACCGAGGCCCACACCAATCGAACTTGAAATACCGTGTCGTGAACAAGCCTGAAGCGGTTTCTTCCTTCAACTCTCACTCCGTTGAGGATGTCAATGTGGGCGTAACTGTCGCATCCCTAAATCACCATGGCGAGGACGCGGACGGTGCCTCCGAGCTCAACACCGTTGACGGCACTGATCGCGTGACTTATTCCAGCAAGGTCGGGGAAGGATGCGGCGATGATGATGATGATGATGATGATGGTGATGGTGATGGTGATGGTGAGGGCGATATTCAGACCAGACTTGATAAGCTGCTCTGTAAAATTGAGGAACCTGATTTGTCCGAGGAGCAGATCAGAATCAATGATCAATTGCAACAAGATGAGGTAGAGATAACGCTTTAGGAATTAAATCTCGATCGCTTGGTTACTGTTGTTTGGTGACATTATTGGTTTGGGCAAAACGATCGGAATTAATGTTTTATCCTCGGGACAAAACTTAGGGCTTCTTAGGTGCTTTTGGTAATGTTCTCCTATAGAACTGTGGTTACACCTCTATTTGCATTGAAGTTGAGAGAAAAACTTAGAATAACTTTTTAAGTGCTTCTAAAAATGTTCTCCAATTAGAATTGTAGTTGGACCTCTATTTGCATTGGAGTTAGGAGAACGCTACACAACTTCTTATGTGCTTTTCGTAATGCTCTCTAACTTCAGTTTATTTCTTTCGTAATGCTCTCTAATTTCAGTTTATTTCGGTAATTATGTTAATTATTGATGTGAACCTTTATCACGATGAAACTTTAATTTGATTAGAGAACAACACCAAAAACACCTCAGAAGCTGCAAGTAAGTTTGCTTTTAATGTCAACATAGGTTGTCAGTTAAAACTCAATTCTCCCTGAAAACAGCAAAAAATAACGGTTAAGAACTTCGTTAAGTTTGGATGTATTGGTTTGAAGCAGAATTATTATGGCATGTGATATCTATGTTGCAGATACTTGTGGTGGAGTCAATTTATGGAGAAAATGTTTTCGGCCTTGAGAGATGGAAAGGCTTGCGTTGCTTTCAGGTCTTGCTAAAAACCTAATTATTCAGCTCTGGCTTTGTTTCTTTACAATACAAACTTTATAAAACCTAATGCTGACTCTCTTTTCTTTTTGCCATCCCTCAGATACATATACACATTGATGTTTTGGGTGAAATAGCCATCACAGCTAAGTTGAACTCTCTTAATCAACTTGAGACTGTAAGCCGCAGTTCAGATGAATTCTTATACACTTTCAAAGTCCACTATCTTCCACCGGTTGTTTTGACTTGTTTACTACCTAAGTCGTACCCTAGCCACCAACCACCTATTTTTACACTCTCTGTTAAGTGGTTGGAACCTGTGAAGATTCTGAGACTGTGTTCCAAGTTGGATTCAATATGGGCTGAACAACAAGGGCAGGAAGTAATTTACCCTTGGGTAGAATGGTTGCATGGTTCTTCTCTTTCTCATCTGGGATTTGATGAAGAAATCACACTTGGGCCTTATGGCATGAATGTTGTCCAGGATGAGCGTGTTGTTTCAGGAGCTGAGTGCATTGACATTGATATTCCTTTTCTACGAAATTACAATGATAAGAGACACAATGAGAACTTCCTCAAAGAATTACATCAATGTAACATTTGCTTTGGTGAATATGCAGGTAATTTCTTATTATGCCTGACTTAGACTTAGTGTTTTACACAGATGCAACTAATTTTGAATTTGATCTTATTGTATCACGTGTCCCATGAGAATTACCTTCTCTTGTTGAGACTCGAAACTGTGTCTGATCATCACCATTCATAAACAGTTTCTTTGAACTTCATTGGTGGAGAATCATTAACAGTTCCATTAATTTTAATAATTGGAGCTCTATTACTTAGCAGGTCATCAATGAAGCACTGCTACAATGAGTATTGGGTACAACACGTATCCAATAGCAGTTCTTTTCATCTTGACAAATATAGGATATGATATGTTTAACTACATTATAGTGTATATTTATGCATATGTATAATTTACAAAAATAAAATAAATGTTATTGTAATTTTTAAAAAATCATATTAAAATTGAAAATTATTACTGATGTTATTGAAATTGAACATACGGAATACACTAAACTCAAATGTATATATGAACTAGAAATGACAAGTAAATGAAGTGCTCTCCGTATTTAATACAAACACCCTTTCAAATAATTTTCTATACTGTACGGTTTCAAATCATTTTCATGTTCTCACCATTTAATGAAAAATTAAAAGTGACATTTGACTTATATAAGCATTGTTTATCTGTTTCTTGTAACTATTTTATTTTAATTTTAAAGGTGATGCATTTTTCTAGTGACTATTCGATTTTAAATATGTTGAATATGTTTTATCAAAGTATACAAACGCATCTATGTCAAATACCTATGCAACACATATGTCGAATCCAACAACTTGCCGGTGCAACATAGCAGCCCGTTAATATATAAGTTTTATTTGGTGGTTTTATGGCCAAAAGGAATTTGGCTTATACCATCCAAACAAAACTCATTTTTCCAATTTATTTTTTAATTTTTTTTATTTCCAAAGCTGATTCTGCTTAAAAGTTCTAAAACTATTTATCCAACCATTCAGATATCTGACTAACCTTATATTGTAGTAGGCTTATCGAAATGGTTCATTTTGTTAGAAGAAATCCTTTGTTTGGCTTCTTTTCATCATAATACAGTTCATGGCTTCATGCTATTTCAATTGTGACTTCAATCCCTTTACTGTGTTTGGCTCTTTGCTCTGATAGAAAACTGGATCTCACTCCTTGTCTTCTCCATAACTTTTGCCCCAACTTATGGACTTCGTAATTTATGTGGAAAAGCTAATGCTGTATCACATCACTGCTTGAGCCAATGCAGTTCTACTTCTTTCTATTGACAGCAAGGATAATATCATCTGCGTTATTGGCTTCTAATTTCTAAAGACGTTTTCATTCCAGTGTGGTTTATTATTTACATGCATGAGTTGATTCTACTTTTTTCAATGCTTGGTCAATTAGAGTTAATATTGAACATAGTTCTCATGTCTACCCCTTTATCTATCAGGTTCCGAGTTTATCCGGATACCATGTATGCATTTTTTTTGCCTCAAATGCTTGCAGACCTTTGCCCAGATACATGTAAAGGAAGGAACTGTTAGTAATCTTCAATGTCCTGAAGCAAAATGTACAGTCATGATTCCACCTGGCCTTTTAAAACACTTGCTAGATGACAGAGATTATGAGCGCTGGGAATCCATGATGTTGGAAAAAACACTTGCATCAATGTCTGATGTTGTTTATTGTCCAAGATGTGAAACCCCCTGTATAGAGGATGAAGACCAGCATGCTCAATGCCCAAAATGTTATTTTAGTTTTTGTACCCTTTGCAGGGAACGACGCCATGTTGGCATAGCATGCATGAGTCTTGATATGAAGCTTCAGATTTTGCAGGTATGTTATATTTGGATCCAAGATGGGATGAATGGTTTAGTTGTCAATTGTTGTCAGACTCACAGCTATGAAATGTCTTTTTGGTGAATACATAGCAGTATATACTCTTATAACTAGCATCTATTTATATATTAAAGGCATATTATTGCATTAAAATGTAGTTGAATGATGATGAGATTTTTTGAACTTGATCTACTCGTGAGAACTATTATACTAATGTTAGATTGACGAAAGTCAATGTCAATAAAAAAATATTGAGTGGAGTAAGTATAATGATATTTACTCTTACACCTGTAGTAAATAGTCCACGGCTCCACCCATTCCTAGATGCTTTTGAATTTTTAATTTCTTAATTACCAGCTTAGTCTTTATCCTTTTTCCCATCTCCATGAGCCCAAGAGAGCAGGGAGAGATAAAGAAAACTAATAAGGGACATTGATTGAAAATGAGGGTGATACAAAACTATGTGTGATACGAGTTATATTTATAGAGCTTATTGTCAAATGTGAGGGATAAAATCAAATGAAATACGATCAAATACAATGGAGATGCTGTAATCAAATTGGCAAATTACAAATCCCAAGTGTGGGAGTAGTCAACAATACTATCGTAGGCAAAATAATTTATAGAGCTTTGTTAATTGTATGCAATAGTGTATTGCACTCCATCGTGTTGTTGTGTCCCCCTCTGTTCCTGTAACCTTTGTCACCTTGCTAAAGGCAATCATGTCTGGAGAGATGTTCTTCTCTGCCAAAATTCAAAATTTTGACCCTTTGCATCGGATACAGGAACTATTACTCTCAGGTGTTGCAGTTTTTTTTTCCCACAAATCTTTTTTCCCTTAAAATCAATGTTATCTTTATGGTTTTTCAGGGGTAAAACTCATAAACTTGCCCACCTGCCCACCCTTAATAATCTGATGACCTCTTCTCTCTACCTCTCATGACTTCTATCTGCTCTACTCTGTTATTGATTCTGCTTTGCTCACATACATTTTTTTTTTCTGATCGGGTGCTCATATACATCTAACTACCCTAGCTCCATTATTTGGTTCCATCACTGACTTATAGTCTGTTGTTTCTGTTAGATGTTAAGATGTGTGTTTCTGTTATTTGGGCTTAGTCTATTCTGTATTAAGGGCATTGGCCCATATCTTACAATATAAATAAACTACCCTATGTGTATGCTAAACACAAGGGATATTTTCTCCCAATCTTCTCTATTTCTCATATGGTATCTAGAGCACAGGAATAGTTCCAATCAACTCCACGGTCTCCGGCAC